GCCTCCACCCCGCAATGACTGAACGGTTCTTGAGGGTGACGAGGGGCGCATCCCCCGGGCCGTGCCCTCCATGGTCCCGTTCCCCCGGGAATGGGGGCTCAGCTGGGCTGGGGGTGACGAGGGATCCCCGGTTCCAGCGCGGAGCTCTCGGCTGCTGCTGTCTCCAGCGGTGACCGCGTTCGCGGGCCCTGCCCGGTGACAAACTCGGCTTTATCGCCAACTAAACCGCCGTTCATGGGCGGCGTTACCTCGCTTCTGTGAATTTTACCCCAAACCCCTGTCTGAGCCTTGTCTTGCACTGCTCAGTGAGGATCGGGTGGATCCAACCGGCGGGATAGAAATGATTTCTGGACCATTTTTGTCTGACAGCGATGAGATCCCCGATGCCGATAGAATATTGACATTTTTAGGCTGCAGCGTTTATTTCTGAAGCTTCTGTCAGGGGATGTTCCTGTACAGGCTGGTGCTGGGTGGGGGGGARTGGGAGAAAACCTCTGAGGAAAGTGCTGCTGGAGTTTGAAGGGATGAGTTTGTGTGTTTGTGGAATGGAATCTGGAGCAGTGACTGGGCACGTTGACTCCACGCTCCTCTCTTGCTCTCTGGCACATCTGGTGGGATGTGCTGCCCTTTGCTCTATATTCCGCTGATTTCTGGGAGAAAAAAATGGAGTTCTGTTGGTTTTCTGGGTGAACAAATTTTCTCCAAGTGTCTTCATTTCAAATTTAGGTAAATAATATTTCTACTGCTGAAAGCAGCTGATTTTGAGGACCCAGAATTCCCCCCCAGATTACTTATCATTTAAAAAAAATGTTTTGAAATCCTTTTGTACGATTTATAAATGTCAGAATTTTACTGCTGTCACTATTCGAGAATAAAGTTCTGTGTCCAGTATTCCTTGAATTCTGAAAATCATCATCCTTACCTGTCTGGCTATAAAAAAGTGGGGTTTGTACAGATTGGGATAATAATCATTCTCTGCACAATAAAACCTCAGGTGTTGCTCCTCCTGTCAGTGCTCTGTGACAGCAAAATTCTTCCTTCTCTCCAAAGAGAGCAGCTGCTTTCAGCTAAATAAATCTAAATTCAGCTGTCAGAGCAGTTTTACCCGAGGGGTGGCTGCTTCTTGTCGAAGCTTGAGACCTGCAGGTTGAGGTTTTTCCTYAGAACTCCTCTCTTCAAGCAGGCAGATACCGATCTCTGTCTCACAGAGGCCATTCCAGTGGGAAATTCCTGGTTTTCCAGCTAAATAAAGTTAAAGCCGTGTGAGTCTTGTGTGACACTCACATCCCCAGAGGGTGTGAGGTGCAGGAGGAGTTTCCCTCTTGTTGCAATCCTTGCTAAATCTTCTTMTTGATTGATGTTGGATGACTAATTAAATATTCCAGAGCAAGCAGAGATGAATTAAATTCAGAAATTATATTTCTAATGGGAAATACTTTATCTTTTATTCCTCTAAGCAGATCTTCACACCAATGAGAGAAAGATCAGCMRAACCYTCTGTGCTTTCTCCCTKGGGTGTTTRTTTTGGGTGGTTTTGTTGGTTTTGCTGTTTCTTGCAGGCTCTTTTGAGTCTTTCATGGGACAGYAACACAGAGAAACTAATAACAGAGAGCAGGGAGGGCAGGCTGTGGTTTAGCACTACAGAAATGAGCAGAGGTTTCTGTAGCACTGGAAATTTATTGTCATTTTTGCTGCTGCCTGGATTTCAGTTTGAGGGGCCCTGGTTTCTTGGGACAACTTGCAGGGTGCAAAATGTTGATTTTCCATAGCTAAAACTACCTTTGAGGACAGATAAAGTTGTGTCCACTGCACATTTGTCATTAGTTGTGCCCGTAATCTTGAAGGGGTTGATGTTTGCAGTCGTGGGGGTGTTGGGAAGCTGCATCATGTGCTGGGGAGGGTTTGGTCTGTGCTGTAAAGGACACACAGAATCACGGATTGATGAGGTATTCAAGAATATCTCATTGCACCCCCTGCCATGGCAGGGACACCTCTCACCATCCCAGGCTGCTCCAAGCCCCATCCAGCCTGGCCTTGAACACTGCCAGGGATCCAGGGGCACCCACAGCCTCTCTGGGCACCCTGTGCCAGGGTCTGTCCACCCTCCCAGGGAGGAATTTCTTCCCAATGTCTCATCCAACCCTGCCATCTGTCAGTTTGAAGCCATTCCCCCTTGTCCTGGCACTCCAGCCCGTGTGAACAGTCCCTCTCCATCTTTCCTGCAGCTCCTTCAGGTGCTGGAAAGGCACAATTAGGTCACCCTGAAGCTTCTCTTTTCCAGGCTGAGCAATCCCAATTCTCCCAGCCTTTCCTCCCAGCAGAGCTGCTCCATCAGTCATTTCTTGTATCACCCAGGTAGTTTTCTCCCTGCAAAGCCCTGATTTAGTGATTTATTTGGGGATTCCTGCAGTGGAACCCCTGAGAGCTGTGAGGGGCAGGAGTAGGAGTCTGCTCTTGGTTGACTCTTCCCCTTCAGAGCATTCATTGGGCTGCGTGCTGTGGTTCTGCTCAGCAGGGAAAAATCAATGACTCACATTTCCACAGAAAGAAATGTAATTTCCAGTCTCATAGCAACTGTCCTTTCAACACTTTCAAACCTTCTGTGACAAAATGTTTAACACTCACCCATCAGCTTTTAATGCTCCAGGCTGGTCCGCCCACTCCCCCCAGCTGAAACCTGCAATTGTGCATCCCTGAATCCCCCAGGATCCGAGGGGGGATGCTGCCAAGACGTTGAACAGTTAAATATAAAATCTTAGACATGAGAGAAGTGTTGCTGACTGCATTACATCAAGACAGAGTGACTCTGGCAAGGCTTAAAATTCAAAACTGTGTTCACTTTGATTTGAGTCTCTGGTTTGTTTTTATACACCTTCAGATAGTTTAAAATAGGTTTGGCTGGTGGCTTGGCTAAAATATTTTTGGAAATTATCTTAGTTAGAGAAAGATATTCTTTAGTATAACGAATCTTGRTTTTCTTCCTGGATCTTCCTTCAAACTGAAAGAGAGCAGGGTTAGATGGGATATTAGGAATTGGATATTAATGGGATTATAATAGGATGGTGAGGGCCTGGCACAGAGAAGCTGGGGCTGCCCCATCCCTGGAAGTGTCCAAAGCCAGGCTGGACAGGGCTTGGAGCAGCCTGGGACAGTGGAGCTGGCACATGGCAGTGGGTGACACTGGATGGGCTTTAAGGTCCCTCCCAACCCAATCCATGATTCTGTGATTCTGTGTGTCCTTTCCAGCACAAACCAAACCTGTTCCTATTCCCCACGGGCTCCTGCTGTTCCCAGGCCTCGGGAGGTGACCCCAAATGTGGGRCTTCACCTGCCCAAAGCCACAGGAATGAGCAGGGCCAGGTCCCACTGTGTCCCTCCCCACTGTGTCCCCTTGAGGAGGCACAAAAGGACTCAGGGTGTTGATGAGAAGTGACAAAAATCTGTGCTGTGTCTTAATAATGGTGACATTGGAGGCCAAAGAGCTCCTTAGACATGTCCAAAGGAGCCCAAAAGCATCAGGCACTGAGGTTATAAAACACCAGTGGAACTGGGCACCTCTGCTGTCCCAATTCATGACTAACTGGGTTTAACTGGTTTTCTCCTAGCTGATGATGGAAGAGGTGCACAAGGGCAGCAGCAGCAGCTCTGTTACGTCCCAGCCCTCGGCCGTACAAGGTACAACCCTGCAGGCAGCTCAGCTCTCTCATATTGCTCAACAGGTAAAGCCTGGGCTGGATCTCAGCAAACATTGCAGGCACTTTGGAGCCAGTTTTTATTTGCTACAAACTGTAGATCCATTCTTAGAAGCGTGTGGAGAAGAAAAAACAGAATGAGGCTAAGAAAAATGTGTTTGCTTGATGGTGGATTGCATAAAATTAATTAAAAAGTGTTAAAAAGCCAATTTTTGTGTTTGTRCAATGCAGAAGTGCAGCCCAGCTTTGGGGTTAGTCAACCACAGGAGCTGCTGAGGAATAAAATGAAGGCCTGGTTTCATTTTTTCCTTAGAAAATGCATTTCTAGCTCCTTTTGTAGTAGCAGCAATCCTGGGTATGCTCAGCACCATGGAAACACTTGGATTTTAGCCCAAGATGAATATATTTAATATAATAAACCATATGAAATTGAAAATTAGAGATTTTTGTTTTGTGAACATGTGGAAATGTGAACAATGTAAATTGAATTAAAGTGCAAAGACTTACACGAGTTCAACATCAAAATTACAAATCCTCGAGGAAGTTTCCATGTTTTTTTATGTGTTACATAATGCCACATTTGATTTTTCCCCAACCAAAGGAWATAACAGTTTCATCCTTTTTCATATGCAAACAGTGTCTCAAAAATGTCCATCTTTAAGGGTACCTTTGTGGCTTAATTAGAATTAAAAGAAGCTGCTAATGTCCCCAGTTTTCCTACACGTGTTGCACTTCCCGAGTCCTGTGGCACAAAGGTTTAACTGATGGTTTTTGGTCTGTTGTAGATGTCTCTCAGAGGTTCTGCTCCCCTCACAGTGGTTCAGCTTCCTGGAGAGCAAGTCCAGGTCCAGGGGGTCATTCAGACAGCTCAGTCCTCCTCTGTCATCCACTCCCCTCAGGTGCAAACTGTGCAGGTAACTCCAGAATGGCTTTAAATACCCCAAATCTGCAGTTATGTAGATGAGAAAACATGTGCAAAGGTTTCTCTGACCCAGCTGCCTTTTTGCCCTGCTGTAAGGGACAGTGAGCAGTGTTGTATCATCCCAAAGACCTTCCTGTGGGATACAACATCCCTCATTTGGGCTTGAAATTACTCCTGGTGTGAAGTCACCTTCAGAGTCCAAATGAAACCATTTGATGTTGCATCCCTTGATTAAAATCTCCAATCCACAGCTCTGTAGTTGGTGCCTTGGCAGACAGTCAAGGTGGGGTCTGACACCCGAAGGAGGAGAGTGGGGAATAACAGAATAATTCAATAATGGTTAAAATGAGTGTTTGGGAAAGGTGGAGCTGTGGGAAGGGGAAGGAGCTGCTGGGTGCCCTCTCGTGCTGTAACTCCCTTTCAGTGGTACCCAAGTCTCTCCTTGTGTCTTTTACTCACTTGCCATGTGATTTTTGTGAGAATCCCTCTCGAGAGGTGCCCAGGGAGTTCCTGCTCCACTCAGTCCCTGCTCCAGAGCCCYTGGGGACCTGGAGTTCCACTGGGAAACCACTGCCCTGGTGAGGGAGGAGCTGCCCTAAAACCCAGCAATTTGTCTGTGATCCTTGTCCCACACTCCTCATTGCACACTAAACTGATAAACCACGAGAAGCAAAGCTGGAAGGGATTGTCAGCTGTCACTGCTGTAACATTAGAGCAGGGAGAGGAGAACGTGCCACTSCTGAAAGCAGCCAGGCATCTGCACCGGCTGCTTCTGGTGCTCATGTCTCTGTTAGTGCCTTTCCTGTTCCTTCCCCTGCTTGCACAGTCCACACTGACTGGATTCATTCCTTTCCTGTAATTTATGGACATTGTGGCCTTGTAGGGGCAGAAGGAAAAGCACAACACGAGCAGGTTTTTGTCCCTGCTGATCGTAGGCTGCTCTGTCTCTGCAGCTCAGGGAGAGGCTTTTCCCAGAGCTCTGCATTCCTCTGGCCTCTGTTGCTGGCACACAGATAAGAACAAATAAATGTTTTGTTCGCTAATAWGGAGCATCAGAGACAAAATAACACTTTGAACTGGATAAGCACACAGTGGAATCAAGAAAATTGTAGATAGTACTTTGCATGTTTRCTCCCTGATATTCTGCTGCCTTAAATATTGTTTTCTTTGAACTCCTATGTTCTCATCAACAAATCCTGCTGTTCCTCTTCTACATGAAAGATTTCAGGTGCTTTYTGTGTTTGTCCTGTACATCACTGGTGTTCCTGTTCCCTTTTTCWCCAGGTGTCTTCCCTGTCTGAGAGTGAGGATTCTCAGGACTCCTCAGACAGCATTGGCTCCTCACAGAAGGCTCGAGGCATCTTGGCTCGTCGTCCATCGTACCGGTACGGCTGTGAKACACTTGGTGTTTGTATCTGAAACCAAAACAAAAGCCTCTTCCCATGGTTTTTAATATTCTGCCAACCTCCAGGTTGTTTCCTTTCCCTTGAAAYGCACAATGAGTCTATTCCTGCACTGAACATCCTGTGAGCCATCGTTGCTGCGAGGAAACTTTGACTCCACTAACTGGAGATTGGCCTCAGCAGGATTTTGAACAGAGCAAAATGTTCACCAGCTGTAATTTCACTCAGTTGTGTCATTCTRCTGAAGTGAGGAGTGTAGTCAAATGTCAAACTCCTTTTTTCACAGAAAAATTTTGAAAGATCTTTCTTCTGAAGACACACGGGATAGAAAAGGAGATGAGGAAAGTCCTGGGGTCTCMACTGTCACCTCCATGTCCGTTCCCACACCCATCTACCAGACAAGCACTGGACAGTACAGTATGTTACCCAAAATATCAGCATGGTTTTTATGCAGCTTGCCTCAAAATAACAGATTTTGTTAAATATTTGATTAAGATTAAGGACAAAAAGTTAGTTGTTATTATCCAGTAGTCAATGAAGTCAGTACATAGAAATAACTGGTGTCTGCGACTTAGATAAACTCAGTGCTTTGTAATTTTAATTTTTACACATAAAGACTTTTAAGGGTGTTGGTATGAAGCACACAGCCATGTTCCTYGCTGGATTTAGCCCAAAATATCAGTGAAGACACCGATATCTGTATGACAGGCCACACTAAAAGGCTGTCAGGGAGGGAGCAAAKAATTAGGATTTGTTCCTTTGATGTTAGCACTTGGTGTTGGTGGTGCCTCACACCCGCTCTTCTCCATCCAGTGAGGGTGGACAGGCCCTGGCACAGGGTGCCCAGAGAGGCTGGGGCTGCCCCATCCCTGGCAGTGCCAAGGCCAGGCTAGACAGGACTTGGAGCACCCTGGCATGGTGGGAGGTGTGGTAGGAGGGGCAGGGGGTAGGACCAGATGAACTTTGGGTCTCTCCCACCCCAGCCCATTGCAGATTCCATGGTTTACCATGTTTTACATGCACAGCTACCAACACTGCTGTCCATGTGCTTTCCCCTGCAGTTGCCATCGCTGCCAACGGGCTGCAGTTGGCAGGGCCAGGGGCAGACGGGGTGCAGGGCCTGCAGACTCTGACCATGGCCAACACCAGCAGCTCCCAGCCCGGCACCACCATCCTGCAGTACGCGCAGACCTCGGACGGGCAGCAGATCCTGGTGCCCAGCAACCAGGTGGTGGTTCAGAGTGAGTAGCCCTGGGGCCGGGGTTACAGCCCTGTCACCGACAGTGTCACCTGCTAATGCTGCCCCCTTGGTGTCCCCAGCTGCCTCTGGTGACATGCAGACGTACCAGATCCGCACCACRCCCACCAGCTCCTCCCTGCCCCAGACTGTGGTGATGACGTCCCCTGTCACTCTGACATCACAGACCAGCAAAACAGATGATCCACAGTTGAAACGAGAGATCAGGCTGATGAAGAACAGGTATGTGAGTGCACTGASCTGGTGAGTTTAATGTGCTGGGATCTTGGAATTGCTGAGGTTGGAAAAGACCTCCAGGGTCACAAAGTCCAGCCTGTGACAGAACTGATCAGAGYACTGAGTGCCACATCCAGGCCTTCCTTGGACACCTCCAGGGATGGAAACTCCACCATCTCCCTGAGCAGCTCCCTCCAATGCCTGACCACCCTTTCCATGGAGAAATTCCTCCTGATGTCCAACCTGAACATCCCCTAGCACAGCTTGAGGCTGTTTCCTCTTGTTCTGTTCTTGTTTTCTGGGAGCAGATCCTACCCTCACCTGGCTGCCCCTCCTGTCAGGGAGTTCTGGAGAGGGGGAAGGTCCCCCTGAGCCTCCTTTTCTCCAGGCTGAGCCCCTCAGGAGTTCTCCAGCCCCTTCTCCTGCTGCTCCAGCCCCTTCTCCAGCTCCATTCCCATCTCTGGATGGGCTCCAGCCTGTCTGTGTTTCTCCTGCAGTGAGGATCCAGTACTGGAGGGTCCTCAACAGTGCCCAGCATGGGGGGACATTCCCTGCCCTGCTCCTGTGCCACACATGGCTGGTACAGCCCAGGTGCCCCAGGCCTCCTTCCCCACCTGAGCACACCTGGGCTTGGGGGAGATTGTGACCCAAACACAGGAAATGTGACCCAGACATGTTCCCTTGAGTCTCACAGWGTGGACAAACCAAAATTGGGTTCCCCTGCAGATTGGCTGCCACGTGTGTTAGCAGATCCTGCTGAATTTCCTGCTCTCCTCGGGCAGTTTTGGCTCGGTTTTGCTCCTCACTGCAGTTCCACCTCTCTCCTATTGGTCAGAAAAATARATCTCACATCTGAAATCAAGAACTCTGCTTTTCTGTTGCAGAGAAGCTGCCCGGGAGTGCCGGAGGAAGAAGAAGGAGTATGTGAAATGTTTGGAAAATCGAGTGGCAGTCCTGGAAAATCAGAACAAAACTCTAATTGAAGAGCTAAAAACTTTGAAAGATCTTTACTGTCATAAAAGTGTGTAAGAAGAGAAGGTAAAAACCTTTGGGGACTGGTGAAATATCAGAGGAGAATTTTTTTTTTTATACTGAATTTTTTTAACTAGATGAAAGGTCAAAAATGAAACTTTTCTACCTAGATTTCACAGCTCAAAGACTCTATAGATTTTATTTACAACATGTTGGTGACAAAGTACAAACAGGAAACAAGAAAACCTCACCAAAATTCCTGCTGGCACAACTGGAAACTGAATAAATTCAATTGCAGCTACAGCAAAGGACAGTCACGTGTGGCGAGGCAGGTGATGAGAGTTTCTTTGAAAATTCCTACAAATCCCTCTAATAAGAGAGGCAAAATTTGGTTACAAAGAAAATGTGGATGAAACAGAATCCTTGCCATAGCTGACATTATTAGCAACGTTTATAACCAGTGTATGTTTTGATTTCTTACTCTTTTTCARTCCTTTTTCCTTCAGTTATTTGTCTGTAAATATTTTTATTTTAACCTGTAAGTTGATATTTACAGGTGCAGATGATAAAAAAGCTGATACTTTGCTCGAGGTATAAATTATGTTTTTCTCAGATGACAATTTAAAAAGTTGGGATGATTTTTTTTCCATGTTTGCCGTGTTTATCAGATGGGGGAAGRATCTGCAGAAGGCAGCGAGAGGCCTGGTCCTGGAAATGTCTGAGGCACAGAAAATTGTGTTGATTTTCTTGGAGAATTCAACACATTAATGATTTTAAAGCACAGTGTGAGGGACAAGGACTGGTGACAAAAGTTYTGAAGAATTTCTGAGATTAAACTTCTGAAAGTTTAATTTCACAAGAGTTTGTTCTTAGTTCTGGGCATGARAAACATCAATCATTGAAAATTAAATTATGTGCTGATCATATCTACAATTAAACACTCAGTGCTTGTCCTGCCTGGGGATTCTCCTGGGCTTTGGAACATGAAACCAAAAAGAAGAAAAATGATGTAGTAAAAAATGGAAGATCTATACCAAAGGGTTATGAGGTTCTAATCTCTGGTTTATTGCTGGAAGTAGTGCAAAATTACAATTTCCAGTCTAATTTTGTAAGGTAGGAGCTATTTTGCAAAGTAATGGTGTCTTTGTAAGCAAATATTATATTGCAAACGGGGAGATGGTTGGTATATTTTGTAGCTAAATTGTGATCTTTACAAAACCTGAAATTGAGTTTCTATACATATTTTGAGGGTTTCTATCTTTCATTTTAGTAACCAAATGAAATATTTTGTGAACCAGATTTTCAAGGATATATTTTTATGGATAGTACAAAGTCAAATGAGATCCTCTTTGGTGTAGGAGATACTTGAATTACTTTTGTATGTCTGTAGGCAACTTGCAAAAAAAAAAGGATCCTAAAGTGTATTGGGAGAAAAAAGAGCAAAAAGAAAGAAATGAGGGTTTTTTACTCCCCAGAAGTTGACAATATCTGCACATTAGATCTCATTGTGTCAGAGGGTCCAGTTTGTACAATTTTAATTTGTTTCAGGTGAAATCCAAGTTTGACATGATCAGGACTCCTTTGGCTGGGGAGTCTCCGTTCTTGGAGATCCCCAGAGCTGTCTGGCTGTGGGTTTGGTGGGCAGGACAGGGTACAGGGGAGGAGTGACCTGGGTGAGATGTG